TACCTTTGTGTGCTATTAGGAACGTGTCAACTCGGAACTACTGCACTTCAGTGCCAAGTTCTATGTTGAACCCAGACAGACAGACAGTTTCCTTACTATGGTCATGGTAACATTCTTTTCATCATTTTGTAGTGCAGTTTATTACTGTATCTGTTATTTTTATCCTCGTTATTATTGTTTATTCATAACATTGTATTTCGCATACAGATTTCATTTAGATAATCTATAGTCTTTCTACTCTCTTCTCACTATTTTATATAAACGAATTGATCAAGTTAATTTTGAACGCTTATAACGTAATAACAACTGCAATTTCGTAGACTTTTCATAACCAGAATTGGTGACATCTTCAGAAGTGACTTCATGAAGAAGACAGAAGTGGGTAGGAGTTACTGGAATACTTAGGTTTCAGGTTCCTTGTTCTCATCTAATGGCATATAATGAAAGGGAATTTTGTCCCAAAACTTTTTTAGGACCTTGCATTCTATTACATTATGTGTCTGACCAGTTTCATCGTAGGACCTTGTACAGATATGCAGCAGTTTGAGTTGCCATACTCCCTCTGTGTACCACACAAAGCAGGAGAAGAGAGTTAGAAGAGAGATTCAAAAGAGAGAGAGATAATAAACAGAAATATGGGGCAAAAAGAATGGTAAAATGGAAAAACAAAGAAGCACAAAGAATGGATGCATATGCGAAATCATTGAGAACGATTTTGTGCCACATCACCGATTGTTTCCAGCCTTCATTGGTTTTTACCGTCCTGAGGACCCCAACCAGTCAGCAGGTAAGCACCTTTCGACGTGACTGGCTAAAACTAACTGTTTGGGTTTCATTGACTGATGAAGCCATGTTTTAGTTTGACCACCACTGGCTCTTTTTCGACCTGATCCTATGTCAGCCAACATTACCCATCGAGGAAGGCAATGGATAGGGATGCGTAATACATGCCCTAACCACCTCAATCTATGTGGCTTCACAGCCTCGTCTATTGATTTCCCCTCCCTACCTAGCATTCGACGCCCAACCTCAATATTACTCATCCTATTGCACCAGCCATTTAACACGGGAGATAGAACGAAGGCACCTATGATCGAAGACAACTAGCTAGCCTTTTCATGTCTTCTACTCTCAATGGCCAGGTCTCACAGCCATAAAGGAGGACTGAGCGGACTGCTGACCAGTACACACTCCCTTTGGTCGACAGCCAGACAGATATCAGTCTACGCCAGAGATGGCGTAAACTGGCATATGCGAAAGTAGCTTTCTGTATCCACACTGAGATTTCGTCAGCGATCAACCCGTTGGGGTTGGTGCGGCTTCCGAAATAAGTGAACTTGGTCAGCACGCTCTACGATTTCACCCCCTATTTCTAAGCTAGGGGTCAGTATAGTCCAGTCTTGTAAACCATCTTACATTTGGCGGGAGTGAATCGCACACCAAACATTCGTAGACTGCAGCTCAAGGTGTCCAGATGGCTCTGCATTTTGTCAGCGTCTTGACCTAACCTAAGACTCACTGATTGAAAACCGAGTACTTCTAAGCTTGTGAGTCACATATCCAAAAAAATGATAAAAATTGAATGAACATCATGGGACACCCAATAGAGTCTTAAATCACATACTTTGCCTTGTATTCGGTGTTAAACACTGAAAATTACTAAACTGAAAAGTATCGGCCACCTAACACGCGCTCCTCAATTGGTAGAGTAATTCTCTTCCTGGTATACTGCTGCTTCACTGACTGAGAGTAGTGTCAACTTACACGACACAGTCTATTTGATTTCCGACCTACAGTAGAGGTCGATAGTTAACTGGGTCGTTTATGCATGCCAGAGGAGATTATTTATTATCAGTATTAAAGCACAAACTTGGTACATTATGGGTACCAAAAGATGTGCGAGACGAAATCTCGTCGTTTATGCAAGTGGTAGGATACTGTCTTAAAACGACGTACTTCGCCCCCCCAGACCTTGGCACTTGAAGTCTGATCCACAAGGCAGTGGATCAGGAAGCATCAGGAGTTACGTTTCCATGGTTGCCAGTGACCAAAACAGGTCCATGCACCATTCGATCAGGGTACACCTGCACCAAACGTATGCATTCACCCTTTCACTTTTGGTGAAGAACACCGCCGTCACTCCCCACCCCCGGCGTGCTGCTAAAATGCAGTAGCAGAACTCAGACAAATGTCATGTTGCACAACTTATTTGCGAAACCAACCGATAAGAAGGAAATCTCACACACACACACACCAAGGGTTAAAGTTCAAGTCAAGAAAACAACCAGTTCCAATACAAGTAGCTTAGAAGGTGTGAAAACACACAAAAACAACCAACCACGTTCAAGGTCCCCACCAACCAGGAGAGATAACTAATTAACACATGGAGAAATCTAAAAGCTCACTTCAACAGATTGAAGTATGTGCTAAAGGAAGATGTTGCCTATTAGGGGGCGATGAAACCTTCGGAAGTGTAAACCATCCTGCCAGCTCAGAGAACACAACCACATCAAAATACAGTTAATACTCGTCAATATGTGTACACGTGTGTGTGGGCGTTTTGACTAAAACCTTGGATATTCCATCAGCCACCAGGTGTCATATGATGCTTATGAAATAATATTAGTATGTACTGATGATTGAATAAACAGTCTGGAGTCCAATTAACATAGAAGACACAGGTTCTGAAGATACCCGACAACCAACATAACCAACAACAACAACAGGCACCAATCATTATCAGCAAGAGAAATCTAAAGGATGTCATACCTACGCAGAATCATTTCAACTGCAGGTAGGAGGCACACGCGAGGATGTCAAAGACAGGATCGGAAAAGCAAGACAGACATTCGTTACTCTGAAATCACAGTTTGGAAATCTACTGAAATCAGTACAGTATAGTACAAAGCATAAGACTTAGATCTTCAACACTAATGAATGTCTATTCAGTAATGGTTTACATATAGTTCACAGACCTGGAATTTTCAACAGGTTACTGCAGATTCCTATGAACAGCTGCCTTTGTTCGCTCTACACTGAAGAGCAGATGACCGGACAGAAATGACTCAGCAACAAGGAAGTCCGATGACGAAATGAAGATGGATTGGAAATACGCCGAGGAGACCACTGAATGACATCACGCTCCAGGCATACCCTCATGTCGAACCCTAAATGGAAAACTACAACACCGGTGTCCGAGGGTGAAGTGGAGGAAATCAGAGATAATGGGCAGTTGTGGAACCAGCTAATAAGGATAGAAGAGAAGAGGATGAAATGGAGGTGTGTGTGTGATGAGAGCTGTCTGCAAGCCAAAATTGCTAACAACAATTCACGTCTATGTTTACGTCCCGAATCAGGGTCATGAGAAAAGAAACACAAGAACAAAGCCTAACCTTGAGGAACTCAACAACCAATAACATCAGACTTAGCGTAGGCGGATACGATTCGCAGATATACATCACCGGACTGTCACAGAAACGGCAACAAACAGATGACAGAATAACCTTCAGCAGGAAAACAACCAATCAGAAGACGTTCCTCCTCTGCTAACAATAACGCTAATAATAATAATGATGATAATAATAATAATCTATAAATATCTGTCGATTTTCTCAATAAACGATCTGCTGCCTGGCGCTATGCTTCAATCGGGACCCAAATGGATTAACAATGATAATAATCCACCCCAACGACGCTACAGATGACGTAAGATGACTAGCTAGATGTGACTGTGGCTTTTGATGGACAATACGCCGTACTCGAGTACTACGGCGTACCCCAAAATATTCATCAACCTTATTCAACAGCTGTACGACAACGGCACATGTCAAGTGATCCACAACGGAAAACTCAGTGAGGCGTTTAAAGTAAACACAGGAGTCAGACAAGGGTGCTTATTATCACCAATGACATTCCTAATTGTGGTGGACTGGATTATGCGTCAGACAGTGGGAAACGAGAAGACAGGGATATCCTGGACCGACGTAAAGAACCTAGAAGACCTAGATTTCGCAGATGATTTATGTTTGATGTCACACAAAATCGAAGACTTACAAATGAAAACCGACAAACTGGTCGAAGAAGCAGCCAGAGAAGACAGGACTCCAGGTGAACATAGACAAGACGGAGGTTATGAAAATAACAAACCAACAACAACAGGAGCAACATCCAGCGCCAATCACCATCAACGGGAGGGATTTGAAAGAGGTTACTTCATTCACTTATCTAGGGAGCATTGTCTCAACTACAGGAGGAACGGACGAGGATGCCAAATCGAGAATCGGGAAGACGAGAAACACATTCATCAACCTGAAACCAATCTGGAAATCTTCGTCACTCACCATCAACAACAAAATTCGTATTTTTCAATACAAACGTCAAGTCAGTCAGTTCTCCTATACGGATCAGAAACTTGGCGGGTCACCAAGAATATTTTCAACAGGTTGCAGACCTTTATCAACAACTGTCTTCGCTCCATACTGAAGATCAGATGACCGGAAAGAATCACCAACAAGAAACAATGGGAACAAACGAAACAGGAACCAATCGCCCAACAAATATGCAGAAGAAAGTGGAGATGGATTGGACACTCGCTGAGGAGGCCGTTGGGTGACATCACGCGTCAGGCCATTGCTCGAGTGGAACCCGAAAGGGAAGCGGCGAGTGGGACGTCCAAGGGTGACATGGAGGAGGTCGTGTGATGAGGAACTGAAACAGTATGGAATAACATGGATGCAAGTGAAAAGTACAGCACAAGACAGAAGGAAGTGGAGGCGTGTAGTTGAAGCCCTATGTTCCACTAGGAACCCAAGGGAACAATAATAATAATACGCAAAGATATATAAATATACACGCACGCACACACACGCAACTACACGAACTTTCCGACTACGATTAAATTATGTACAAAATTGAATTCAGCGCATAACGATGAATAGACAAATCAGAAAGAAGTGTAAAGCTTTGTATAAAATCTAATTGTTTTTTTTTTTAATTTCTTTATTTTCTTTTAATAGAAAATGAATCTATTATAACAATTTGTATATATATGTATATATACATGATTGAAATGCATGAAGAGTAGTGTCCTCAACGATAACGTCAACACACACACACACTACGCTGGATATAATACAGTTCGAAACACTCTCAATACTTCTTTAACTTCAATTGGTGTAATCGGTGAGGATAAACTGATGTTCAACTTTTGTCGGTTAAATAATACCATATCAATAACATCTAGAATATCACCAGTTAACAGGTAGGCAATGATAAGTAGACCTTCATGGAGAGGTGCGTCCCATGTTATGTTGGCGTTGGCTTCAGCACGAGCAGATGACGACGAATTAGAAGAAGAAAGAGAAGTACTCTTAGTTCTCATTTTCAAATAATATTCTCTCATTTCCTTGCTTGTCGATAGAACTGTTGAAGCAGGTGTTGTTGTTGTTGTTGTCGGTTGTTGTTGTGGTGGTGGTGGTGTTTGTGTTCCTGGTGACGAGGATATCGCCTCTTTTGTCTTTTTCATCGCAATATTCTTGTTATTCACATTCAATGGATAATAGAATAGCCAATACCAAAATCTTTCAAAATTCCGTGATCTTGTTATACTTGTAAAACTAGCTGATTGTCTTAATTGACTAAAGGCGAGAAATTCTTCAACTGTGGAACAACACGATTTCGAATCAATTCTCAACAGGCGTAACGATCTGCCTTGATTTATCTTTTCATAAATTTGTAATAATCTCGGGTTAAATTTTTGCCAAAATAATTCAAATTGACAAGGTGATGGGATTGACAATTGATCGAGTAGATTGTTTAATCGTAACCAGTTTGTATCTTCATTGGATAGAAGAGAGTTGACTAGTTTAGAATTTTGTAGTAGGACTGTATCCCCACCACCACCACCCCCACCAGCACGAACACCGTTTGTCTCCTTCTCCGTATCATTATTGTTGTCGTCTTCATCACCATCACAATCGCCATCATCATCATCATCCATATCATAATGATCCTTAACGAATGATGACAACTGTTCATCAATACCCTCTATATCAGCCATTTTAATAAATGAACTTTGTGAGATTGTACGGAAGTATTTTACTATTCTTGTCAGTCTAATCGGGTGATCACGGTACAGGATTAATAGATCACGTAAATCAGGTAGATTTGTGGATAAATGCATACGAATGTGCTGGACAGTTCTACATATGTACTCATAGATTATATCAACAATAATATCGGATGTAGTGAATGGTTCACCGGAAGAGATCAATATTTTACGAACTACTTCTTTTATGTATGATTCTAGATTAGTCTAGAAGTGATTAGAAAGAAAGAGAAAACATACAGAAAGAGAGTTAACAGTTAGTGGTTAAAACTAATAATTGATTATTAACTTTATATAATTAAGTTAGATTATAAACTGATGCATTAATGGGGCCGTCTCTGACGTAGACGTGATATCCGACTATCGAACAAAGGGCGGGTCTACCGCTCAGCAGTCCGCTCCATCCTCCTTTATGGCCGTGAGACCGGGCTATTGAGAGTGAAAGACATGAAAAGGCCAGGTAGCTGTCTTAGATCATAGGTGCCTGCGTTCTATCTCCTGTGTGAAGTGGTATAATAGGGTGAGCAATATTGAGGTTAGGCATAGGTCGAGTGCTAGGTAAGAATGGGAAATAAATCGACGAGGCTGTGAAGCTACATCGATTGAGACGGTTAGGACATGTGTTACGTATGCCTAGCCATCGCCTTCATCGACAATGGGCAATGTTAGCTGATATAGGGTCAGGCTGGAAAAGAGCTAGCGGCTGTCAAACCAAAACACGGCACCAGTCAATGAAATCTACAACAGTTAGTTTAAGCCACGTAGGAAGGTGTAGACTTCCTGGTTGGGGTCCTCGGAACGGTAAAAACCAATGGCTGGAGACAATAGGGGATATGGCTGAAAATCGTTCTCAGTGGCACAGATGCATCCATTAATTGTAACTTATAATTTCCAATGAAACTATATTGTTCTTTGTTATTACTATTCCTTTTGTCTCATATCCCTGATGTTAGGTAATGTTTAGGAATCAGAGATGGTTCCGTCAGACTATCGTAAGTCACTGACTATCCCAGTTTATAAGAAAAGAGACAGGTCTTCTTGTAATAATCATGGTGGGCGGGATTAGCTTGACTGATATAGTTTCTAGGTTCAACAATCATGAGCAGACTATTTGGTGCTCTGGCATTACATACAACTACAGTGCTCAAGTTCTACACATATATGAAAATGTACTCAATTCATTCTACAATTTCGATAAATATTGCACTGCTTGCTGAATTCGAAAAAAGCAGTAACAGTACAGCATATAGAGAAGCATACAACGGATGTATCTATTTTATTTCGTTGGATCTCAGATTTCCTGGAGAAAAAACAAAACGACGAAAAGTCTGTGCCTAAGGGGAAGTAAATCTTTGAGAAGTGCAGCCATGTGACATCCAACTACTGATTGACAGAGGACATCAAGTCGACATGTTGGTGGCACAGTGGTTTGGACTCTCGCCGACCATGCACATGGTCCGGGGTTCGATCCCCTACCGACGCACACCCGATATCTATGGTCGGCCTGTGAAATTTGGGCTACCGATATCCATGCTGAAAATGCCATACTTGTACTGAAAATACGGTGTGGCATCAAGCTGTAATCAAAAATTAAAAAAATATAAAAAAATAAAAAATGTTCAATTGCTTTGAGATACTAAACACACAATAAAGTCCAAGCCAGTTGAAGTTCACGGCGACGACCGCTACTTGACATTTGAGACTTGATCTATATATATATATATATATATATATATATAATTCATTCATTATAGTTTACTTGCTCCACATTTCAATGCGTCTACATATCAAGATCATTCTTGATTATTATTTATTCTCTAATGAACTAAAGTATGTTTAAATTATAATAGTGAACTGCGATTGTATGTAGTTGGAAAGATGTTGATGAAATAAAATGGATCTGTTTTATCCCGCAGCAAGTGTTGCTGTTATTGCTTTGATTAATTGGGAAGAAAATGATAAAACTATGCAAGGTAATATCTTGATCTCACTTTTTTTATTTCTTTACGTTCGCAGTGGAACATAGGGCTTCAAGCTAGAGGCTTAAAGTTTCGATAGCAATGGTGTTTCCTCTTACGGGATGGGGTTACCAGCCAGCCTCCTGCCCAACCTTCCCCCCCTACTCTTTACAAGTCTTATTACTGACTTAGTGAGGTAAAGGAGTGCGTCAGTTGTGGGGATCGAACCCCGAACCACTTGAGGCGTGGTCGGCGAGCATTCTATCACTGTGCCACCGACACATATTGATCTCACTATAAGAGGATAATGATTAAAGCTGAGTAGATAAATATAAAAGCAGCCATAAAATTTAACTCAAACGGCTTAGATTCTTGAGAAAGAAACAATTCGCACAGTTAAGATTGTTGATTGCCAGAAAGGCACTACTTGAAAAAAAGAAAAAAGAATGGACCATAAAATGGCAGTGCACTCATAATGAAATGTGAAGTGGAAAGACACAATTAATTTTGGTACTCAGATTTTGGTGGGTTTCATTTTAATGTACATTCCATCATAAATCATCAGTTAGAGAATCATTGAAAACATTAAAAGCATCAGAATAACATAATATTGGTAAATATTTTTTTTAAATTGAATATCGTGAACATACCATTTCTTTCAATCATATAATATGTATATTTAGAAAGCCAAATGTAATATGCTAAGTGCAGAGGTAGTTTAGTCTGGAAGCTAATATTTTAATACGTCGTCCATCCACGTCATTGGTAATAATTCAATCTTTGAAGTTCTTGAAAACAAGGGAAAACAAACAGAAAATGATACTTCATACAATCAATACAATCAACGGCTGTTATAAATCAAGTGAGAAAGATGATAAGACATATTAGGTCAAATTTCTCTTCCAATGACTTGTAAATCATTGGGTTATGCCCTTTATTTTCGCGGAAAAGTTACTAGATTAGAGACTTATTTCATCGCCTAGTTTCAACCGTATTACAATTCAGATCAGCGCATTACTGGTTACTCACTGCAAGTTGTATTTAAGTACGACTGGATGTTAATTACGATTTCTTTTTCTTCTCAATTGAGTGTTATTATTCGACGAGAAACTAAGTGAAGGTGAACAGGCAATTTTGAAAGAACACATATTGGCTTTGAGATATGAGGTTGTGCCAGCCAGTAACTTTGTTATTACTTTATCCAAGCCAAAACTGATCCCATTATTTGATTGGATTATAAATGCAAAATGACTACTAGATTGGTAAGCAATGTAGTCGCCTAGCCTTAAATTGTTAATAGAAGTCTAGTGTGGCTATGACTCGTCAGTTTATGCGCACGATTTCCAACCAGTAGGTTGCGAATTCGAACCCAACTCCATCTAAAGAAGTTTGGGCAGGCTTTATAAAAATAGGTATGGCTTCTTGACAACTGAGTGAGATTATAAGTAGTTGTTGAGTAACACACTTAATCGGATTCTCCGAACTGACTGTGCGAAGTAATTATCAAGATACACGGGCTGAAGTTGATGTGAATAACACTGCATTATAACTACGCATAATATGTTTGCAAGAGACAATTGGCGGGACATCCCTGAAACATTTATTCATGTCTTTCATCATACTTTACAAATATGTGTTCACTGACTTATTTTTCCAATTGTGCCAACGATTGTACAGTAATTTCTCTACTGAGGGAACCATTACAAACAAAAGGCACTTTGAAGTTTGCTATTATAATAATGATGAGTAAATAGACCTTTCACTAATTAGTTATGAAATTTAGCGCGATATTGCTTGAGAACTTCTGTTTACTCTCTGAAATATACTTCATTTAATGGGATTAATATTTAGGATTCGCTAAAAACGAAGTAAACTGCTTCAAGAAGTGTATGTTTGTGTCATACAAAATTTAAGGTGAAAAGTTATAAGAGAAATTGAGGAGCGCACCCTATTAAGTACTCTTGTGTCTCTGTTAGAAAGATATAATATTGTTAACTATTGAAATGCTGGACTGATAACTTCACAATGCACTTCTTAAGTAAAAAGCCTTCAGCAGCAGCTATAAAATTTTAATATGCTACTTGTAGGACTACCATATATAACGTCTTGTGAATTGTTGAATATCAGGTTATGAAGCTACATTGACTAAAATAATAAAACACACTGAAATAGTTATTAATGCAGAAAAACAAATAAAATACAGAACCAACTGATTCACTACACTAGTAAGCAAAGTTAAACTTTATTTATAACTGTAATCTAACTCGAACCAACCCCAATGTCGCCTTCATTAGGTCAACTTATCCTCGGCTTAAAGGGAAACTTAATCTTTCACAAACCTAAGGTTAAACTTGCTATATATCCCATTTAATAGCATAACACTTCGATTAGCAAATTTTATTGATGATGACAACATTATTTGCTGGGTTTCACTAATTTGTTCAGACAGCGTTTCAAAGTCATTAGTGCGGTCGCACCCCATTTGTAGTTAGTAGTGCTTTAAGTTTAACTTGGCCCTAAAATGGAACCATGTACGAACGAATCATTTCATAATGCACCGAAATGAGTCTGAAACGTGCCTACCTTATCATTACAACAAAAGACCTTCACTTTTGGAAAGTGCGCGGTTTCAGGTATTCTGTTCCAATATCCAATGTCGTTTTTCCAATATCCAATATCCTGATTACGAGCTAGTATAAACCAGTGATTTCTTTGAGCTCGCTTCTTGATTGTAAGGTAGAGGTTCCAGATCTTCGGTGAACTTATGCGTAGTAAATCCCGCCACTCGACTGCTTTAGCTCTGGTAGACCCCCAGAGGAGTGGTGCGAGGATTGGTCAAGATTGTGGTTTGTAGTGTGCAGTATGTTAGGACTCAGCTGCTGCTGTGAATGGAGTTTGGCCTAACACCTGTTGGTCATTCGGTGTAGTCATAAAAGTAGAATAATAATAGGTAGTAGTGTAGATAATATAGGCTGAGATAAGTGAAATAATAAAGAAAGAAAGAAAAGATAGAGTAGTCGGTACAGTGGGAGAAGACAGGACGGGTCGTGGGGATTTAGCTTGTATGCTTATCCATTGACAGTGTGGTTTCAAATTTTAAGAGGATAAGGCATTGAGACACAAACCATGCATTTCTACATGATTGTCCAGCTTCCGCTTAAAAGTCCCCACAGATGGCGCTGTAGTTACGGCCGCCGGTAAAGCGTTCCAGAGACGGCAAACTCGAAGCGAGAAGAAATGTGAACGCACTCGAGTCTTTGGTCTCTGGTGTGCTATCCTTAGCGGGTTACCTCGTGGAAGCCTATAATCACTTAATGGCAGGATGCTCTTATTAGGGTGGGCCTGGTCATTTAAGATCTTATAGACGGTGATGAGGTCTCCCCTGTGACTACGTAACTAAGTGTGAAAAGACTTAATTTCTTCAGTCTTTCCTCATATGATTTGTTGCGGAGGCCGATCACCCATTTTGTCGCTCGTCTCTGGACACTTTCTAGAATGTTAGCATCCCTTTTGAGTAGCGGAGGAGCAATGATATTATGCACCTCAAGGAGTGGCCTCACGTGTGTCGTATACAACCTTAAGAATAGTTCAGGAGTAAGACCTCCCAGCTGCCTATGCATAAAGTGTAAAGTGGCGTAAGCTTTGGCGACGTCCCTCGCGTGATTTACACTGGTGTCTAGCTTTTCTGTTAAAATAAGACCTAGGTCGCGTTCTGATGGCACACAACTCAAGTTCTGGCCACCAAGGGTGTAATTTGCACTCTGTGACCTGCCGGAATGAAGTTGCACTACTTTGCATTTCTTTAAGTTGAAAGGCATTCCGTTAGCCAGAGCCCAGTCTCCCAGAGTTTGCAGGTCAGCTTGCAATCTGTCGGAGTCTTCCGATGAGTTTATTGCTCTCCAAATCTTTACGTCGTCAGCGTAAAGAAGCGCAGAGCAATTCAGTTGACAGGGCAGGTCGTTGCTAAAAATCAAAAACATCAACGGCCCTAAGATAGAACCCTGAGGAACCCCTGATGCCGAGGTGTGCCAGGATGATCGGGTGCGGTTGACTTTGGTGCAGAATTCTCTCTCGCCTAAGTAATCTTTCAGCCATGCGAGAAGTGCTCCAGAAACACCCGCTTTGCTTATTTTGTGAAGGAGCAGACCATGGTGAATTGTGTCGAATGCTTTCGCAAAGTCGAGAAAGATCACATGGACTGGTACCTGACAACGCGCGCTCCTTGAATACGACGTGCATTTTCCTCTCTAACAGGAAATATCAATTTTGTGAATAATTCGTTTGGGAAACCTGATCTTCCTATCCGGCGAATTTTATTCAACCATTTCTTCTTCACCGAGCCTGTGTTTGGTACTTCTCACTGTCTCGAACTACTGCCTAAGCTTCAGGTGCTACTTCTGTAGCAACATCCCCCTCACTCTTTCAAATATACAGGACCTGTTGGTCTGTTACGTGATTGTTGTGAAACCGAATAACCCGAAAAATCCACCAACGGTCATCACTGAAGTAAATACCGCTAATAGCAGTATGGCGAAAACCTCAAAAACAGAAAGCGTTTAACATTCCAACGAACTGCCACATCAAATCTTTGTAACGTACACTTGAAATACTGTGTGCGCTCAGTGCGATTCAAGATTGAACAGACATGTTTAACTGTAAATACATAAAAACTAACCTCACCTAGTTTATTAGCTCGCCAGTTTATTAACCGCTGTCAAGCCCAGGCAAAGAAGGAGGGTTGGGTGTGGGACTAGCGACTTTACACCACCCACCCTATCGAAATGCGACAAGAACTTCAACACACAATAAAAATATTGAAAAACATAAAAAGCAGACTTGATTTTCGCTAGAATCAGAGGGGCGAAATGACATGGACTGGTGGAAGCCTTCGGACACCTAGTCAACCGGTGTGTCTTCTGTCAACGAAAGCAAGAAAAAAATCAGGACGGGGGATGTCCGTAAGATGTACGGGGCTGGGAAGTCTGAATAGGCAGCCTAAGAAATGGGGAGATATGGTGTTAAAGTGCTGGAAATCTGCGAGAGCAGATGAAATGAATGTGAGCTGTCAAAATTGTCAAATGGGGAATCAGCGATCCATCCTAATCTGGAGAAGACTACAAGGGATATCCTCATTGCAGGTGTCTGAGAAAAGTCGGAGGCACTACGTGGTATCAATGAGGGAACCTGCGTGGAAGAATATTGGAACTTTATGAAAGTGATTTTGAGGGAAATAATTACAACTGTTCTAGGAAGTAGGATAAAACAAGGGATGGCTCTCAATAGATGCCTGGGAGCCAATAGAAGAGAGGAGGAAGGTGAAAGAGAAGATGATTCAGTGCAGGGGTAGGCAACAGAAGGAGAACCTGAGTTCATTGTATACTGCATTGAATAAAGAAGTGAAGGAGAGTAATTGAATAGAAAAACACAATTCTACGCACTGACAACTGAAGGAGAACAGGCAGGCCGCAGGCAAAAGAGACCTCAGAAAATTATTTCAGATAACCATATCTTTATCCAGGAAGATATCAACGCATATAATGAAACCAATAAAGAAGTTCAAGGGAACCTGGTCGCTAAGGAGGACAGGCAAATAAACAGTGGGCTGACCACTTCAGATGACTCTTGAATCGACCATCACCTGCAATTTGCCCAGAAATACATCCAGCAGCACGCAGAGAACTGAGAGTCAACACCAATCCTCCAACAAGAGCGGATATATTGAATGCCCACGCCGTTATTCCAAGGAGTTTGGAATGAAGGGTAAGTACCTACCGTATGGAAGGAAGGCCAAGGTATCAAGTTGCCTAAAAGGGCGACTTACGCCTCTGCAAGAAGTGGTGCGGAATAATGCTCTTGTTCACGCCGAATAAAGTACTGTTTCTCGTCTACTTGCGTGACATGTACAGCCGATAAGATTCATCAGCAGTGTATGTACAAAGAGATATTAATTGGCATAAAAACGTTAAATAGTAGGCTATATAGATATACCTAATTGCAAATAAACATTCCTAACCAAGTCTTTCGTCTTCTACCGCTACACCTGGAGAGAATAATAGAAGTACTGGATGCAGAGCTCCGCCAATCCGGAATAGGATGGATTCAGGAAAGGCAATACATCTGCCGATAAAATTGTAACTCTTGATATTATCATCAAACAAAGCATATGATAGCAGTGAAACCTCTACCTTAACTTCATCGACTTGTGAATGATTTTCAGGTTTGAGGTGTAGTTCTGGATTCTCAGGATTGTACTGCAAATGAACCATTCCATTGCATTATTTGTTGCAAATGTATATTACCACTCTAAGGACTTCATGGCTATTACTTGTATATCCTCTGTCGGCCCAATACTTTTTTCCGAAGTAGGATAATGCAAAATGATTTCTTTGGAGTCGCTTCTTGGCAGTCAGGTAAAGGTTCCTGAGGTACTTCCAATGATATGTTATCCTTATCTATGCTTTTATTCGACTTTATTGTTTCCTAGAGCGTTTGGCCCCTCTGATTTAGCTAGCAAGCACGCGTAGATGTGACACTTCTCTGATTAGTATCTTAAGAAATGGTTGATTATCAGTCAAATACAACTACCTTTAAAAATCAAAATAGGATCTGAGATGCCAGCTGAACCTTGGCAATGGCTTTACCATTCATCATGAAAATGCCACTGTTCTTATACATGAAGTTAAAAATGAACTATTCAAACTACTGGGAGAATAAAAATTTATCAGCATGTTGCAATTTGGGATCGTATTATTCTTGATCGTGCCTTTATTAATAGTGTGATTTCATTTGAATGAATTTGTGTATATGAGTGCGCATTATTACAATCATTTTCATTATAACTATTATTATATTCAACCTCACCACCGGATGTTTTGATTTGACATTGTCGTATATAGGTAAGTCGAGCGTTAAAGATAGTAAAAATTCGACCCACATAAAGTGTAGGAGTCCGATTCCAATTCACAATAACTTTTATTGGTCAGAACTCACTTTGTCTTTTGATATAAACTTCACACTGGGTGGTGTAATAGCGTTCGATATACTACATTCGGTAGTAACAAGCTTGAACAGCATATTGCATGTTAAGAAACCTGCAACATTTCTCACTTTTAGGGGCGAGAGCTTCGTGTTCATCCTGTGTTTGTTTATTACTGGCCTATAGCTTCACTTCCGTTCAGCGTTAGGTTGTACCCTTCGCTGTCGACATTCACTGAAAGCGAGCAGTTAAGCATATGCACCACTTGATACTCTGTTGTTTTATATTCGGTTGGTGTTGCACATTCTAGGATTAGCTTAGCCTGCAACTGGGCTTAGCAGTGTAGATTCTGGAATATATTTCGTATTGTACCTGGTCCAACTGCGGTTTTGATATGGCTTAAGCTAACGGTCTCCTGATCCAAGTTAAATAGGTGTATGTTTGGGGTTTTGTAGTATCAACGTATGCCTAGGTTAATTTCGTCTAAGTACTTCATGGTTTTAAAGTAAGAAATCACAGCTTCTTTGTCGACTTTATGTGCTAGGAAATGATATTTTAAGCTGCAGTGTGAGTGTGAATCAGTTGTGGATAGGTGTAACGCAACAGCTCGATAGAGCTGCAAGTGTTAGTAGTCAGTCAACATTTGGATTATGGTGTAAATGC